GGTGCCCCGAACCATGAATCGTTGAGACAACCATATATCTGACTCTGAGCCTCGAATCAAAAACCTGAAAAATTATTTAGCAACTTTCTATCCAGCTGTAACAGTTCTCAGATTTGCAGTTTGCAAATAGAATTCTGTCGTCACGTTGTGGGAAACTGAAAGTACGCCATTGTTAACGCTCGTCAAGTTTGAAACACCTATCTTTGGAGGTTATCAGCTATTATCATAACCTTATCTTATTATACTAATCACGTTAATGAATTTTAAACTGTATATGTCTCCGTATCTGGATTTGTTGCTTGTGAAGTTAGCTTGAAGTGTCGACCACATGAACGAGTTTCTCTCAGCGTTCGGCGAACAAGACAGCAAACAGACTTAGAAATAAATAGATAATGTGATAATATACGTTGATTTATTGTATTGTCAGGTAAGTACTTGAATGATTCATGGTTCGGGGCACCAAATTCAACAGATGGTAGAATAGTTTATTGCCAACGCGTTTCGCTACATAGAACTTAGCCTCATCAGGGCTATGCTAAGTACAAAGGACTGCTTGAAAAATGTACTTATTTTCGACAAGCCAGCAATACTTTACAATCCATATGTTATTAAATTGACTGGCCGGAATGCTAACCAACAAACAGCATAAGTTCTCACTAAAACAATGAGATCATTGTTGTGAAAACTTGATTTATCGTATCAGTTTTGCAATTATTTTCCTGCTTTCGCTAATAAGCATAATAGCATAGTAAATGTCTAGGACATTGACTTGGACTGCTTCTGTTCCGAACGTATTGTGATAGTATAGTATATTATGGTCCAGAGTACTTAGCATTCTACTGTATGACGCACGCACTACACTGTGCATGCCGCTCGTTGCTAACGATTTGGTGTCATGATAACATGTCTTGTGCTGCTCTGTTATCGTACATAACCAATGACTTCTCTAAGGCCAGATTTTACGGCGTACTGCCCCCATCTCCGTTGCAAATACTTGTCTAAAGGGACCATTTAAGCATGTCCCGGATCCATGGTATTTGAGAACCTGCAGTTTTAGACGTATTTCGGATTTTGGATGTTTCAGATGCTGGTACTTGTTTTGTGCCACCCCACGTGGACATCACTGACTGTCTATATGTTCGATTATGTCAAATGTCGAATGACTCGTCCTAGATCGGATTTCATTAACGTGAGGTGGCTCTAGCACTGGTGAGAGATGCGAGATGCGCGTCTGACACTACAGGCGCTCAAAGCCGTAGTCTTTATGAATGCTTCCACCCCCGCCCCCGCCTAGACAACCAGGAGCGTGGTGACGGTGTAATTCGCCCTAAATCCGGTCTTGGAGTGGTCGTTCGTTATTTGTTATATTATATTGCGCAACAGTACGACATGGGATACTGTGTAACCGTATCATACTCCGACATACTGTCACATCATAGCCTAGTGTGAATGCGCGTCGTAAAGGCTGGGATTTGC